GATGAAAAATTATAATGTAAACATGACGTAACTTCGCAAGTGAAGATTATACGACGATTTACTTGGTATTAAAGCGTGAAACCGCCACATTGACAATCGTGAGTGATCAATTTTTTTTTCGAAGATGAATTTACATCTGTTACATGTTGCGTAACAAGAATAAGAGTATGCAACGTTCTTTAAAACGTTCTTTTCGAACGTGCCTAGAAACGTCGAAGATATTTTTCTCTTGTGACTGAATCCACACGCTTGACTAATGAAAGATTAAAGAAAATGAGTCATTCTCGACCGGTTGTAGAATTATTTCCCAGTGAAAGAATAATCAATCAGGCATAAAAACTGTAGATTTCAAACGATTCTTGCTCTCCTCCAAAAAAAAAAAGTAGTATTTACGTTTGCAAATGATCTCTCCATAAGAAAATCAATTTGCGTAACAACACCATAGCCTGTGAATTATTCAAGACAAATTAGAACAAATGTGCACAGTATGGAGTACTGTTTCTTCCTACGGTTAGATCACGCTCGCTAGAATAGTCGCAGGTAATTTGTCTTGTCGAGTAACCTGTCTAAAAGCAAACGTGTTCACATACGTCAATCTATTTTCACGTCACGCTGTGTGCGTGTGCGTGTATTTGCTATTGTTCTTATTTCGTTATCGTCAGATTCACCCACGACTCATACACTCTTTCTCTCTGTTGAATACCAACACAAACAAACAGAATTTGTCGCCCACACTCATTTTGATTGGATTTTGTTATGGAAATTTTTCCAATTTTCAGAGAATGTGAATGAATTTCATTCGACTTTTGTTGCCTTGCTTATTAATTTCTCTTTTTTTATTTTATTAATTTCAGATATCGGAAGTTTGGAAATTCAATATTGTAAAAATTCCACGAAACGTCTGAAATTCCAGACAATGTAAAACGTCTGTTTGGAATTTATTAAAATAAATGTAATTCCTGACTTTTACAGAAGCTACTTCGCAAATTTCTACGTCTCTATATCTCTACAAATACCTTCACTTCGTTAGTTTTTGCATCGTGTAGCAAATAGAAAAGTGAGGATACTTTCGTTCTCGAAAAATTCAAACGCCTCTGAAAATGTTGGAAATTTGCTGTCACGAGTAAATCTAACGTGGCTTCGAAGATTGAAGTCTCCTCTTTGCAACAACCTCTTAAAATTTGCTGAACAATTTTAAATAATTTCCCAGTCTTTCTCTGCAGAAATTCTGTTAACCCTTCATGAATAATAATAATTTTTAACTAATGAATAATAATAACAATTAATGAATAAGTATCACCCGCAAGCTGCATTTCAGTCACGAATTAATTATTTCCACTAAAAAGAAAAAAAAAAAAAATTCAAACGAACAGCTCATGCATCTTAATGGGAATTAGATTCAAACTTTAAATTCCCCGTTTAAAATTAAAAATTCTTCGAGATGATCGATTTGCTAATTACCTCTCGTGCTAATATTAATTGTTATAAGGCGACGAGTGAAACGTGTCGAAAGCAAATTTACGATTAGGCTTCAAGATTTCAAGGCTGTTTAATTCAGGTATTTAAGTGAAACAATGCAAACGATCACCATAATTTCATGGAATTCATTACCTACGTTTAATTTCCACTCATTACCGCTTGAGATCCATTAATTTCGCATCTCTCCATCAGCCGCGTCGTTTATTACAATTATTTACAATGCACGTTTTTACAGTAAATAGCGAACTGACATCGTGATTGAAATACTCTGATTTAAACATCTCCTTCAATTAATTAACAGAAATTAACAGGACTTTAATTAACAGAAATTTTCACTCGTTTGGAGATATTTATTCCAAGACGTTGGAAACTTTTATTCACGCTGTTTATTATTATTCGTGTTATTTATTAATGTTACGCGAAAATTTTCTTTTTTTTTAGTAAATAGTGAATTGACGTCGTGATTGAAATGTTCTAATTTAAACTTCTCGTTGAGCATTAATTAATAGAAATTAATTAATAGATTTTCAGTCGTCCAATTAATTCGGAAATTTTATTTACTGGCATTGGAAATTTTTAGTATCATTACTATTTACTGTAACAAATAAATAATACTCCGTATTACTAAATTTTATAAGTAATATTTTACTAAACAATATATTATTCTTTACTAAAACTTAATATTTTACTAAATAGTATATTAATTAAAACTTAATATTATACTAAATAGTATATACTATATAATATTTTATTATTATTTACTAAAACTTAATATTTTACTAAATAGTATATTATTATTAAATAATAGTAAATTTAATTATTTAATAATAATAATCTGTATTGTTAAATTCTAGTACAGTCAGTGTAAAATTTCAGTAATCTCAGCGTAGAATTTCAATTTTAGTGTAAAATCTATTGCTAAATAAATAGCAATTTTTATTATTAGTATTTATCAACGTTACGTGCTATCTCTCCGATAGGAGGGAAGTTTAAACAAGCGTGTCTCCCTTCGTTCACAGTGATCCTAAATTGCTTTCCGGCAAATTGGAGATACGTTAAGACAATTCCACCGTGATTTTGGTGGAACGTGGCGTCAAATTCCAGGGATTTGAGCGTTCACGGGAACGTGGCTAAAATGGGGAGGCAGCAGGGGAGATAAGAATATTACGTTTCGAGAGTTCCGGGACCTCGGGATCTCGGGATCTCGGTTCGTGAGAATTACGAGACACTGTTCGTGAAATTCGAAAACCCTGAGAAAGTGATACGACCTTTTTTCAAGTAGATCTCCAAAGAGAGAAGCGTTGCGCCTACGTCGAGGAAAACGCAAATGGATTCAGAGAGAGAGAGAGAGAGGAGACCGGTCAAATGGCGAATTTTCAGAATATCGAAGCTCTTCGAATCAGGTCAGAAAAAGGATGGAGAGTCGCGATAAACCTACGCCAGCAAAAATTAATTTCCCAAAAATCAGACGAAATTTGAGAAATTCGTGATGAATTGTGATCAAGCGATTTGCCAAACGAGATACTGAAATTTTGTTAGAAACGAGAATAATTAATGAAGTTTGTTTTAAAGTAATAAGTAAAATTAGTTAAATAAACTAGTAAAATTAATGCAATAAATATTAAATAAATTTAATTAAATATAACAAAATTAAATTGTATATTACACATAACAATGTGTAAATATAAATGTATCTAATTATACAAATTAAATCTAGAAATTAAAAATTATACAAATTAAATCTACAAATTAAAAATTATACAAATTAAATCTACAAATTAAAAATTATACAAATTAAATCTACAAATTAAAAATTATACAAATTAAATCTACAAATATACAAATTATTGTAGAAATTAAAATTCAAAGAAATGTAGAAAATACGAAGCTGATATTCTGTCAATGAAAGGAATTACCTCCGGGAAGAAAATGATCTCATTTCCGCGACACTTTCATCGTTCGTCAAATCGCTGCTTATGATACACTTCATAGAACTCGCGCTCGTGAAATTCGCGCGAATCGTACACCTCGCGAGTCATGTTTGACAATTTGAGAGAGAGGGGGGCACCACTGTGTCGTGACGACGTTCAGGAAGAGACTGTCTCCCGATCGTCTCAATTCATCCTGGAAAAACATCTTCATCGATGTAGATTTGTGGCACAAGGACACGCGACGAAGGATACGTTGTTTTTCGAAATATACTCGGGATTCTGCTCTCTCCCTCAGAGACGCCGCTGTCTCTCTCAGGCTGATCGTATATTTTGCCACACCACCCAGACATTGTCTCCGAACAATTCTATATTTTATCACGCGATTTGTTCCAAAGTATTTCGTAAATTTCTTTAATTTTCAGCCTCGAGAAATTCTCGGTGGTTGTTCTCTTTTTCGTTTCAAGTGAATATATGTTGAAATTTTAAGAATTATATATTTTAAAATATTTTAAAATTTTAAATATATTTTAATATATTTCAAAATTTTAAATATTACATTTTAATATATTTCAAAATTTTAAATATTATATTTTAATATATTTTAAAATTTTAAAATTCTAAAAGTTTGCCAATTAATAACAAGCAAAGAATCACACCGAGAATGTTGAAGTATAAAAGAATTGAGAAATTGAAAAAATGAATTTCAATCCTAAATCTAATTCTCAATCTTAAAAGATATGCAATTAAAGGGTTGAAACATTACGAAGAGCGACGAAGTGAAAATTTTTGAAAATTAAAAGTACGCCGGGGAAGTGATTGTGATGCTTTGACAATGTTCTGCAGACGTGTTCGTTTCTAATCGAAACGCATCGATGTGAATATTCAATACGGAGTATGCTAGCTACGTCACGTGTTACGAGGTTGTCGAGACCTGATCGAAACTTGTGAAAGGCAACCACGTCATCCGCACAGGGATGGAAATGGGGGTGGTCTGTGACGCAGTCCACGATACTGGCTGATTACATAAAACACCGCGTATTTTTATCAATTGCCATCCATGTTCATCGATGCGTATGATTATTTCACTGCTAGATGTTCGTCACAATAGTTCGAGAAACGCCATGACAATTGCGTAACCGGCACGAGATTCGTTTGCAATTATGTACAGTATGTTAACGCAGAGATTTAAGAAGAAAGTTAAGTAAACACCGAGGCGTTGCAGAATTTAAAAAAGTTTGAGAAACGAAAGGGCGAAAAAAAATACAAAATTATAAGAAATCCTTGTTCTTCGTTCTACAATTTCCTAATTTTATTTGAACTTAAATTTATTATATTCTCCGATATTCCGTTTCTTCTAAAAAGGCACGATCCAAATGGATTGAAAAATTCATTAACCGTCGAAAAATTGAAAGACAAAAGTATTTAAAAAAAAATGCAAAATCCTCGAAACCCTTGTTCTTCGTTCTACAATCTCCAAATTTCACTTCGACTTAAAGTTGTAATATTCTTCGTGATGCTTTGTTACTCCAAAAACGCACGATTCTTTGTTGAATAACTTTCGGAAACGAATCGATCGGGATTCCCCGAATCGGCGGCGAACGTCGCTCACTTCTGCGAAGAAGAAACAAACAGCAGTTAGACAGATCGAGATCTATTCCCCGCGCGAAATCGGACCGGATAAACGGAGAATATTCCCCGAATGTGCCCGGGGAAAATCCATGAGATTGGCGTCTGGCCAAGTGGCGCCACAGTCACGATGCCCTGTGCCCTTTTACCACATTCGATTCTCCGGGTCCTCGTTGCATTATTACAGAGCGCGTTGCAAGATTTAATTAATCAATTTTCGGTCGAGCGAGTCAATTAAAAAACTGTACTCCCACATTCGAATTGCCATTCTGACAGCACGCTTTTTGAGAAGAAATACTCTTCGTTCGATAGACCGACGATTTATTCTTATACTGTTGTCGTTGTATATTTTTAAACCTCTCTCAGCAAAGAACGTCGAGCGAACACTTGTTTTAATGGAAATCGTATTTACAAGCGGAGAGAAAGAGATAGATAGATAGATAGATAGAGAGAGAGAGTTGCGTTGTTTGCGTTTCATTTGCGGGCTGAAACCCACCGTTTCGAACTATTAGCGAGTAATAATAACGCGGATAGAATTACAAATTAAATCGAGTGTGTAAATTACACAGTGTGAAAAAATGCAATTTTTCGGGAAATCGGCGCGCGTTACAAATGGAATTACAGACGAAAGGACAACATCGTCGTTCGACTGGAAATTTTAATACAGGTCCAAGTAGCGTAGGTATTGTGCCAGTCAGACAAAGGACAGCACAATCGAACGGAGTAGCACGGATCAATAGAGACGTAAGTCGAAGGTTGTGTTCGTCGAATCGCGCATTAAAACGATTGGAATTATTTAATTTCACTTGGGAAAGTGAAATTTCATTCGGCACGCTAAGATTCTTCTTTTGTGAATGGAAAAAAAGAAAACAGTGATAAAAGTATCTGGAGAAGGAATTATTAAATCTAAAGATACTACGAATACTCATTAAAAATTTAATCGAATTTTCCAATCAAGAAATGATTCGATCAACTCTGAGAATATTTTTCTTCTTTGTAGAAAGAATCTTTTCACGTGAGAATCCTTTGTGTTAGACAATATTATCGAACAAGTAGTACAGATCAATAAAAACGTAGCTCGAACATCGTATCGATCGAATCACACTCTGAATGATCGAAACGATCATTTAATTTCTCATCTGATGTTCTCAGATACTGATGACAGTATCTAAAAAAAATTATGAAATTGCTCAGAAACTATTACGAACTGAAAAATCTGAAAACCGAATCGTTCGACTGAAGAAATTATTCGATCAACTCTCGCGACGTGAGATTATTTCTTATTCGTAAGAAAAATATTCTTCGATGATCTCTTCTTCTTTTGCTCAGATTCGAAATTTATCAAACAGAAAAAAATAGAAACTCACTATTTCTAACACAGTCGATCGAAAATTACTAAAATACTTCGATCTCGATCTGAATCTCGGATTAAGTGTAAGATACGCGAAGAATTTCTCGAAATAATATTTGTTTTCTTTGCACCCACATTTTTATTTTCGTATTTGTGTTACCATTTTCTTTTTTTTATAAACCCTTTCTCTTCCCGGTGAGTTTTTCTCGTTAAACACTCCATCCACATCGTTCCAAACGCAAAAAAAAAAAAAAAAAAAATAAACCACGAGCAAGTCTCAGAAAAGTACAGACGTCGTTTCGTAGAATCAAGGATGTAAGAAGAAGGAGAAAAGGAAAGAAAGAAAAAAAAAGAAAAGCGGAGTTGAACGGCTGCTTAGAGGAGTTCTAAATAAAGCGCAGCAGCCACCTGCTCGACATTCATGGCCCGTCCACGTGTAAACCGGCCTGCATGTTGGCCGGCTCGCGCTTTGCCTAATGATGAGCCGCGATGTAGGTCAATTGATTCGGATCGATCGATTTTTTTACGGTAGAAAAAGCCGAAACAGACAAGGACGGCCCTTGGGTCACGCGAGAAGCTCGTTCGTCGCTTTTACCCAGCGAATCGACTACTTTCACGTCTACACCTCGGGCCGATAGAGATAAGGAAGTTGGCGAACGTTTCTCTCTCGATCACTGACGTCCCTCTTCCATCTCTGTTTCTTTTTCTCGCGAGAACAAAACTGCACTTTCCTTCGAGCTGCCTTATTTTCTTATTTTCGGCGTTCATTCGGCAAACGTTTCGTCGTTCGTTTCTTTTCTTTTTAGGAGAGAATCAAAGAGACTCGAATCGCGAAAATGGATTTTTCGTCGCTCTTTTTTTTGGGAGGGGTTTATTTTGCTTCAATTTTCTTTATCTAGTTTATTTTTGCAACACCTCTTGAATTGGGTATTCAGTATAGCCACTGAATTGAACTGAGTTGAATTCTCCCCTCCTTGTTTCTTCTTTTCTTTTACGTTTCTATTTTTTTTTTTTTTTTTTTTTTTTTTTTTCGTTTCTTTTTTCTTTTTTTTTTTTTTATTGAGCGCTCAATATTTCTTTTTTTCTTCTTTGTAGAATCTCTTCCCTGTAGTTTTATTGATGCACACAGAAAAACTTGCATTTAAAAATTTCCACTTCTCTTTGAACTTTTGCAGAGGAAGCGAAACGCGTGTTCCCTTCCTCTTGCATTTGCTACTAGAGTCTACTACTACTTTGCTACTAAGCCTATCGAGAGTATCATTCAATTATCAGGTAATTTTGAAACAAAGTTAAAACGACTTTGAGTTATAATTATCACGATATTCAGAAAATAGACGGCTCGTTGTTGAAGTATACGTTAATTACCTCGTCGAGAGATACCGTGAGTTGTTTACGTGTCAACGATAAGAAAAATAAATAATAATAATAATAATAATAATGGCACTCTTACGTAAGAAGCTGCAACTCCTTTTTATCTTTTCGTTCCCCCTTGATCGAAAGCTCGAGCACGCGAAATATCATTTCGAGGTGCAACTCGCAAACGTATTGACGTTACATTCGAAATCTAAGTTTGGACACGGCCCCAGCGATCTCAACGCAATATTTTTCGTGTATGTTTGCTCAGCCAGCAAGTGTCTGTTTAAGTAACTAGATAAACCACGCTTAAAGCCAGCTCTAGTAAACTGGAGTGGAAAATTTCGTGGTCGCGGAGAGCTGATACACAGAATCTGGCGAATATTAATCTCGCGCAGGTTTAACCACAAAGTAATTATTCTTAATCGCTTTCCAAGAGTAAATATCCATCAAACTACTGTCAAACTGCTACAAACTCGATAAATTCGAACATCAAACGGAATAAAATTACTTCGAAATTGCTATTTCGCAAATATGTCGTGTCTATTCTCATTATAAAAAACATGAGGTTAGCAAATTTTTGAAAAAATATTTCCGCTGCGAATTTTCCCCGAAAATTCACCAAAAGAAGAAGAAGAAGAAAAAAAAAGAAAATACCAGAGCGGTATTTCCGAAAACTTGCAGCCGAACGTATTATCACGATATTCGCAGGAAAACGTGAATCTAATCCTTCATGAACTTCAAACGAAACAAAACCACTTTGAAATTGCTATTTCGCAAATATGTCGTGTCTATTCTCATTATAAAAACACGAGGCAAGCATATTCTTGAAAAAAAAAAACATTTCCGCTGCGAATTTTCCCCGAAAATTCACCAAAAGAAGAAGAAGAAGAAGAAAAAAAAAGAAAATACCAGAGCGGTATTTCCGAAAACTTGCAGCCGAACGTATTATCACGATATTCGCAGGAAAACGTGAATCTAATCCAAACAGAAGTCGCGTGCTTCGTACGTCGAACGCTTCGATTCATTCGGAAGAAGACTGGAGGAGAAACATTCCGGGGAAACGAAAGATTCCACGAAGATCGATCGAGTTATAACCGGTCGAACGAAGCGAGCTCGTCGAATAAAGAAAAACAAATGAAAAAGCGCCGCGAAACCAGAGAAATTCCAGAGCGTGTGCGTGGAGAGAAAGAGAGAGAAATCGAGGGAAAAATCCCTCGGCGAAATTGCAGACGGCCTTCGAGATGGCCTAGTAAGTGACTTATCAGCGTCATCTATCCTTTATCAGTCGCCTTGACCGTGAAACTGTAACAGCCGCGCGCTGTTACGCAACTATGTGCACATTCTGGCATGAAACTGCCTGCTTCTGGATCGAACTCGAGCAAAAAGCTTTCCCATCGACTTTAGTCGGTAGGGGTGGTGGAAAGATAAATGGGTCTGTGGGAAAAAGCTTCTTCGTGGAATTTTCAAATTTCAATTCGGATTAATGTTTCAATTGGACAAAGCGCGTAGCTCTTGTCTCCAACGAATGGAGATGAAAAGAACTTCCAAGAATCGCGATCACGAGGGGAAATAAACTGGCTGGCTCCGCAAATAAACTCGGTGTGTTTCAATCGGCGAACGTCCGATTGAGAAAAATGTTGCTACTTCGATCGATCCTCGCGTGGAATTCCAAGAGACTCTTTTTTGTTTTTTCTTTTTTTTCTTTTATTATGGCGTACACGAATTTTTTCAACTATTAAGAGACACTTTTCTCTTCTGTTTGAACAATTTTAATTGAAAAAAGTGCGGAACTGACACGAAGATTCAACTTTCGAATTTCTGATTTCTCAACAGTGTAATGAGCGTCTGTCCTCCTGCAAATGTCATCGAATATTTTTTTTCAACAAACGCCTCTCGCGAATTTTGCTCGTAGTGAGAATTTTTCAACAAAATCACTCCACGGTAGCAATTTTCAATAACGACGCGAGAAATATAACGCGCACGTTACTAAACTATTTATAACTAGAACAGGTTTTGTCAATGTCGTCGTTCGTTGTTGCAAAACATCGCAAGAGAACTAGATGCGCCATACTTTTTCGATTCGCTCTACGTAAAGTGGGGGTATTTTCTGGAAAATTCAGCGATCTATAAACTGAAAATTTCTGTCTAATTTCTGCGATCAAATCTTGATGAAATATTTTTAATAAACACTCTGCTAAAGTAAAAGAAAATGCGCGAAAGATACAAAGCGACGTGTAAATATAAAATAAATTGCAGTGTCGACACAATTCCACTGCTTAATTGCAAGTGTGTTGTTAGAATAATTACGAGAATAATCTTTCGTAAGTGATGAAATATCACGAAAGCTTATCTCGAAACTGCTAACATTTTACATTCTATCCAAATATATCTGAGCAAAACCCCTCTCCGTGTATTTTTTTCCAAAATACTTCCTACTTGAAAATATTTTCAAAATTTTCACATTACTATTCTGCCACAACTCATTTCATGAGAGTTTAGTTACTTTTCTCCATGAACCACTTATAGAATTATCGTTCGTTTTCGCAGAAACATTAAGCAAGAGAAAAATCAAGCGCAATATTGATACTTCATCGATCCACCGTGTTACGTTATCGACATACGATAGGCGAGGAAATCGACCTCGACGAAGATCGGTGAACACGCTCGTCCTCACCTTCCTGACGAATTTAATTTATTCCCGCCCGCTTGCCATCTGGGATTCTTGGAAAGCGGAATTTTGACCGGGCAGCCTCGGCTTCCTTCCCGTAGGGAACGCTTTCCTTGGGCTGCCACGAACGCCGTGGAAATTCTCGTAAATTCGCGCATCACGTAGCCGGGTCAAGGCAGTGCGTTCCCAGCTGCTTCGATCTCTCTGCTATTCACGCTCCTCGTTTGTTACACGCCGCTTCTGTTTCCCGGAGCTCTTTCCTCTTTGCTTCTCGAGCGGGCAAGCAGCAGTCGCGATGATTGAAGAATCGTCTGACGTGATTTTCACCATTCTCTGTTTCGTTTCTAGTCACTTTATACATCTTTGACTTTTCAATCGTTTCCGTTCTGGAATGGTGGCGCTTTGGGAATTTCAGCGTCGGAAAGCAATAGAATCTAGGGACATTTTTTCTCCCCTATTTTCGTTCCGTCAATTACCTTGTAATTCTATTTTATTATTAATTTAATTATCAGTTACTTTGGTGCAACTTTACTTCATCGTTAATTTATTAATTGCTTTGGTCCAATTTCTTCAAGTTGCAGCAACAATTATGTGCATTATGATTGCACGGTAAATAACTATGCTTTCGAAGTCACAAAGTATCCCGCAGTATGATAACCGAGTCTATTAATAAACTTCGTTGCAACAACGACAAAAACTATTTAGTCGATTTGTATTCATCGCTTTGGCAATTCCTCAGAGTTCATAATTAAAACAAGGAAAACATGTGTGCATAATTTCTCTGACTGGAATTCCCTAGTGTTCTTTTTCTCATCATCTCGGAAACGTCAACAATCAGCGTACGAGATGCATGAAATTTCCCACTTTTTATTTCACTTTTTATTTTTGCCCCGCTAAAAAATTCGTTAGAAAAATATAAGAAGACATTTCGTCACAAGCAATTGGGATAAAACATCTATAATTTATTGTTGAAACTTTCGTTTCCTAAAGTTAGATGTGATCGAGTTTTTTAAAATATTTTGTCAAAACGAAGCACAGGTCTACTTTTGTTCAATTATTGCTCGAAAATTTACACGCGCATTCGAATTTATTTATAGTCGAAGTTTCGGCATTAAGTTTCAACCAAATTCTCTGCTTAAGTATAAACAATACTGCTGAGAAGTGAAAAAATTCGAAATGAAAAAAAAACGATGTAAAACATGAAAATGTAAAATAACGTATAATAACTGAACTGAATATACCAGACAGCGTTTCACGTAGATTTTCAATCAAAATGGCGGCGTTTCGTTAAAAAAAACGCGAGATCTCTCTCTCTCTCTCTCTCTCTCTCTCTCTCTCTCTCTCTCGTTTTCGTCTTGATTGCATGAAAATGAGCTCTCCGCTACAACGAAGCAGGTTTGCAAAGCTCCGGAACACCATTATGCGCAATTATTCGCGTGCTGCTCGATTTATATCTCCGAGTACAAAGAAGAGACATTAGGATGACTGTAATTCCGAGTCGTAAATTAATATTAATCGTCCCGCCTCAAGCAAAAGAGATGATTATCCTACGAATTCATTTCTATCTTTTTTACGCGGCTCTGACCATCGTGTTTCAACTATGGCGTTTTCACTCGAATTCTCACAACATCCGCAAATTTCTCGCAATTTACGTCATTCATTCATTTTTCCTCTCTCTCTCTCTCTCTCTCTTTAAAATTAATTTAATCTCTGCAACAATAATTCGATCTTTCGATCTTTTGCAATTTTCCCCGTGACTTTGAATTTTCAATTATTTTCCACGGAATTCATGGCTTCGCGCAGCAGCTACAGTTCCCTGTATATTAAAATTTTTAATTACTTCCGTAATGCACGAACGTAAATTCAACCTTTTGCGCGTTGAACCTTCGACCTTTATCGGAAATTCTGCAATTTTCTATAAGTTCGAACATTTCCCTCCTTTCGTCACTCTTTTTCACCATTTTCGCAACTTTCCTTTACAATTTCCTGCCTTTCCTCGGCGATTAAGATTTTTTTTTTTTTTTTTATTACTTCTCCCCGCTTCCCGTGCGTCGCGTCATTTCTTCGTCAACTCCACCGTTCAAAATCTCGCAAATTTCCAATCGTCTTCCGCTTTCTCGATTCGACGTCGACTCGTCGTTTTGGAATTTTATAAACATTCGGAAAGAAAAAATTTCGAAGGTGTTAATCGTCGGATCGTCGGAAACCAGCGGCCACCAACTAGAGCGTGCGTCTAACACGCTTAACGCTTGAAATCCTGCGAGATCGTTCGAACAATGGCGAGAGCGAGTGTCTCAAAGCGCTTCCTCGCACTAAAAGTGTAACATCCTGCACGGAGGACAGTGAACCAGATCCGACGACGGTTCGTAAATCGAGCGTGTTCGCGCGCGAAACGAGGCAAGTCGGGACTTACCTTCAGAGAGGCCATGTCGGACACGGATCGATGCGTCTGAATGGTTTCCAGCTGGTCCAGGCACCAGTCCAGCTCTTCCATCGTCTCCACCGCCAGTTTCATGTAGTTCTCCTCTGAAAGCCGGGAAGCAGAGAGCATTTTAGTTGCCAAAGAAAGAGAGAGGAAACAACTGAGAGTTCTTTGTGACAGCGTGAAGTTAATCGCCCCCCGTGAAGAGGCTACTAAAGACTCGAGAGACTTTTCTTCGCGTCGAGAGCGCGGTTGATTGGATTGTAGCTGCGAATTAGAATGTTTGGTTACAGTGGCTGTCTCTGATGGGATTATTATATATGTAGCAACGATTTTCTTACTTCTTTTGCACGTCATTATCATTGTTATTAATATTGTTTTGATACTTCTTTGAATATAAACGCGAGGCAAACATTTAATTTAATTTTAAGTAAAGTATCATATTGCAACGAAACACAACGAAAAGCGTATTTTTCGTTCTGTAATGTTATCTGTTATTCGAAGATTTATTATTATTATTATATCTCGTACTGAATTATTTGTGAAAGTGGAAAGCAGTGAGAATTTTTACATTTTCCTCGAAAATTGTAAAAATTCAAACACACGTAGAAATGTCAAAAAAAATTTTCTTCGTAATTGGACCCGCAGTCATTTCGAAGACCAAAGTCTTCTCTTTGCAACGACCTCTCGAAATTTGTTGTACGATTTTTCTTTATCATTTTATCGAACGTTAAACGTTTTAGGGTCAAACGACCGTAAAAAGAAATTTCTTAAAATTTCGTCATCTAACGCTGATGTTCCAAAGTTCAATAAAACGGTGACAAAAAATCGTACGGCGAATTTTAAGAATTCGTTGTAAAGAGAACATTTCAGTCTTCGAGGTCGTGGTAGGTGCGGTCACGGAGAAAATTTTTCGACGTTCTTACGCGCGTTTGAAGTTGCACAATTTTCAAGGAAAATGGTACCCTCGGTCTTCCACTGGTTGCACGACGTAAAATCATGTTTGAAAAGAGACGAGCTCACGACTGTCAAAGAAGTAGCCCCGGGCTTTGAAACGAGAGCAAATGAATCGTTGCGCGATCTCTTTTAACAAAGTTACATCCGTAGTTTGAAAAAAAAAAAAAAAAAAAAAACTGAAATTATCGTCGTTTGCATCAATGAGATTACAATTAATGAAATTACAATTGTTAATCGCAGTCGGTAGTTCGTTAAAATTCGATTCTTTCACTTGGCGTGCATTTCCTCTGCTTTCTCTCCCTTCAAGAACATGGTCGATCCAACAGTTTAAATTTAAATTTAATTTAAATTAATTCCACTTAAAGAAAAAAAAAAAAAAAAAATGTATTTCACAGAAAAAGTAATGATATTTTGCACACTCTGTGCAGAGAAGATCTCCTTCCCACGGTGTTTTACCGAGAGAAACAAAAAACTCCGCTGAATAATCAGACAAGAGATCTCTCGACTCGCTCGGGAGAAACCCTCGGAGTCGCCCACACTCGGTTGAAACTAATTCTCGTAAAAGAAAATCTCAGACTCGTTCACGCAGACAAGGTAATGAGATCTTTCTTTCTCGTTTTTCCACAAATATATCGCCACGGTGAATGGAAAAACGGACGCGAACCGAGTGTGTGTGTGTGTGTGGAGGGGACTCGACTGGGTTTATTGTGCGCGTATCGTAGAAAAGACGCAGGGGAATTGCGAGAAGCGAGTGGCTGAACAAAGACCACCGAGGAAAGGGGGGAGAGAGAGAGAACGTAATCGTGAAGCTCGTTAAAGATGAGAGGCTGCATAAATGAAGCGGAGGAGAGATCAATCGGGAGGAACAAAAAGGGGGGAGGGGGGAGTGGATTGACGTCAGAAGACGCGTCGAACCGCGACACAAAGGGCACAAGGAGAAAAATAAGGAGAAGAAGGTGTGAGAACTTGGACGAACAATTTCGTGAGGTCTCGTGTGAATCCTTCGCGTCCTGAACACAAGATTCGAGCTCCTCTGCCTCGGGATCAGCGAGGGCGAATAGGACAATTAAGCTTGGACTTTTAACTGGAAACGCGAGGAATGATGGATAGCAGCGAAGTTGGAAGGATTTCCAACTTGTGTGTAATTATTTTCACGTCGATTGCGTTTTGCCACTGGTTTCAGCAACTGCAGCGACTCGGGCTAAAACTGCAGAGGGAAGAGAAAACTTCGAAAAACTACTGCGAGACTGCGGGAAAACGAAGGCAAAGTGTAACTGTTGCGTAAACTTTGCGGAAAATTTGCGAGTGGAGATATCTCGGATCGGGGTGATTTCTTTTTCTTCTTCTTCTTTTTTTTTTTGTTGTTATTGTTGTTGTAATTTTGGTTAATTTTGAATTTGTTTACCTCCTGGTGCCAAGATCCGTGGCTGCGGCGTGCTGCTACCCTGTGCACCGCTACTCCTTCGTGATCTGTAGACAAAAGTATCGGGAAATGTTTACTGACGATATATAATTGCAATATAAACCATAGCGTACAATTATATAAGTACAACAACGTGTAACAGAAATTACAATTTATCAAATATTTTGCGTCAGCGGTGCACTATTCTGCAGAGATACAAAGAGACAATATCTCTGTTCTGAATCTCTCTATTCAAAGGGACAATCTACAATTCTGCTGGCACAGAATGTTTGATAAAATACAATTTATATTATACGTAGTATAGTTGTAATATATATTATACATCATGATTCATGTTACGTAGATACACGTTTAATAATAATTTTTCGTACAACATACGTAACATCGATATATCAATTGCAACTGACTGACGAATTTGCGTTGCATCGAACCCTGTCGTACAAATTACAATAATTCTCAATGTTTCTCTTTTTCTGGAAAGGAAAAAATTCGTCGTCGAAATTCAATAAGATTGAAAACATCTAAAAAAATTGTGCATGTGCATTTGGAATTGTTTGTCGACGACGTGCTATTTACTTGAGACTGCAAACGTGGTCGAATAATAAAATCTTCGCACAATAGTAATAACACGCGCTATCTGAAATATTTTTATCGTTTTACAACGTCGACCTGTTTCCTCGTCTCGACGCCATTTTAAATTTCGGCCGTGCAGTCTTGACATTTGTCGTTCGTTATATATTACACTTTGCTGTTCGAATTTTACGATCTATCGGCAAACTGCGAAATATTCTACGAGCGGAATATTATCCGAGGACTTGGTAATAATTTTTTTTCAATAAATAACCAGCGACGAACGATCATTTCGATAAATAATTTCATTCGACTCTTATCAATATTTGTGAAACAAATCGATACTCACTTGTTCGTGGGCACATTCGTAAGCGACAGGAAGTTGTTCCTGACCGAGCGCAGGGAGGCAAGGATCTGCGCGAACGGCGTGACGATGAGGTCCTCGCCATGGCTGCAAGATCAAATTAAAAAGATCAGTTCTCCGCGTATCGTCCTTGTTCCAAGCGTCGTATACAATGAGGGGACGGTTTTAATGGGCGAATTGCATTCAGCTTGCAATGAACTCGAGGTTTTTTTGCTTCGTATTCCCAAAAGCTGCGGTCTAAAAATCATGCAGGCGTGGCGTTCTCGTTGCAAATTCTACACCATGCAGTTCACGTTTATTCGCTGTTTTTCGTAATTATTTCACTGCGATCGAGTGTAACATCATCGACGTTTCTTTCCCAACGAAATATTTTGCAATTTCATTTTATTCCTCAGTCGCGGAAATAATCTCAATTACTATATTACCAGATATATACTATTATCTATCACAATTGCTATACATTAGAATTCATTCAACTGTTGATCAAGCAGCAATCATCAATCAGTACAGCATCAGCACAAATTTAGTTAGAAGTTATCCGTTGCAGTTCGAATTTTATTTCATTCGTCAGTCACGAAAGCTTCCAATTACTATTTAGAAATTATTCAATATGCAAAATCGTCGAACAAGATCTGGCAGAGATCAAGTGACGCAATATTTCAACAATCAGCCCACCGATCAATGTCGTTGATTGATAGTCAAACGTTTCGAGTAATCGCGAGCACCTGCCCTCGGATCATAAGCCAATTCGTCTAAGCACGATCGATTAACATAGATTAACAATCCGTGAATATCAATGAACGCTTTTAGCGTTAGACCGGCGAGAGATTAAACGACGCACCGGCGATTTTGACCTTTGTCCTTCCACGAGGGGGGTTAATTCTCGCTGTCCAGGAGCACGGAAATAATTCACGCACGTGTACGCGTTCGCGCGTGGGAAGGCGCGTGATTTAATTAATGGAAACTCTCTCTCACTCTCTCTCGGTGAACAGTTGCTTCTCGCTTTGGAAATCGGAAACGAACGGCGGGTTGAACGATGGTATTTCGACTCGGGAAAGAGGTAGAGAGGGCAGGGCACGTTGAAAATAGACTTTTATCTCGTCACGATGTGTATAATTAACTGGCTCCTGTTTCTTCCCTTCTTTTCCCATCACCGGCGTTCATCGCACGCTGCGGCGTAATAAAGCAACGCCGCCCGAGCAAAAAAGAAAATCGATGCGCGCTGTTTGCGCGTTCGAGCTTCGTTCGGTGCTCGATATTTGCGCTCGTTCGCTCTCGCGTGCTGTTTTGAAACGAGAAAACGTTTTCGAATCTTTTCGCTTCCATTTCGAGTTCCATTCGATACGTGGTTTGCGCTTTGAACGAAAGAGAAATATATCTTGTAAAGTGAATATTTCTCTCTTTTTTCTGTTTTTTTTTTTTTTTTTAAATCGCTTTATTTTTCTTCTCCCCTGGATATTGAACGAAATTGAACCGGAAGCGCAATCGGATTTACCTGAGAGAAAACGTTCATTTCATTCCGGCTTTTAATTACTATCGTCCACTGGATCAGCGAGCAAAATTCGCTTCACGTCGAACGAACGCTCCGGTTTATAAATATTGGTCGAAAGTCTCGAGAGATCTCTCTTTGGAACTGCTCTGGGATTATCGGTGAAAGCGATTCAGAAAATTTGGCTGATTAGAGTTTCGCCAGTTTCCAAATTCCTTTATTTCTGATAATTATATCGGGGAGGAAATTTTGAAATTATCGGAACGAATATTTGGAATAAATTCGCGTTTATGCTGTAGAACGATATCTACTTTAGCTTTTACATTCGAGTGCAGTATCCCTCAGATTTGTATTAGTTCGACATAAAATACAAGCCCCTTGGTTTGCGTTGCGTCCAAGTTTCGAATTAACCATGTTACAGAATGGTTGACTATCAGGGGCGATCTGTATATCGATTGGAAGTTGAAAACGATTTCTTTCTGGCAAGTGAACTATCCCTTATTTAGGTCAGACGGTCTCTCCCTCTACGCTGAGCGTGTCGCGAAAATCGGGCAAGACTCCCTCGTTTCCTTTTCCACAAAATTAGACCAATTATTATTCCACTCAATTTAATAAGTTTCAACAATAAGAATTACAACGCGAATTTTTATATAAGAATCTTATATTTTTCATTTACTATTACGGTTATGAATTTAACTTTGTGATTTCCAGATATTATTCGTGAAACAATACTTTTAGGAACTGGTACGTTATATTTAAAAATAATATTAAACTTTGAAATAATTATGTTTATTGTTTCAGAATTTTTTTTTCTATTTCGTTCTTTCTATACATTTTTTCACAGATCAATTTCTTCCGTCAATCGAAATTAATATAACACAATCTCTAAAAATAATTATTCGTCAGCAAACGCGTGAAACGTGCATTCTGTTTAAATATTTTCGGAATGAAACTAATGCCTACTCCCCCAGTTCTAGCGAAGCCAGCAAAGGTTTCTTGCTAGATGTTCTTCTCAAAAATATCCTAAGTAGCCAATCACGTAAATCAGTGCGTCACTCGAAGTTCTCGGACAAAACGCCTCAAAATTTCCCATAAGAAGAAAAAAAAAACCCGATCTAATAATGACACGTGGAGAGAAGACAGTCACCGTGTGCGATCGTACAAATCATACGTCAGCCATAACACGATTCTCAACAGCGTGGAACCAATTAACCATGTTATTCAGAGGTTCCGTTCTGATCAGCGCTGTCCCCAGCTCAATAACCACGGCAATCACCATTGGTTCCCAGAGCACAGATCCAATCTCATCAAGACTATACACTTCTCCATGCGAAAGTGTCCTTCGTCCAACTCGGGAAGATATTATTCCCATCGACTCGATCCGCGTGAATCAGGAAAAAAAAAAAAAAAAAAAAAAAAAGAAACAGATTTTGCCAGTGAATATTCGTAGAGATATTGGCCCGAAGATTCTTCGAAACAAAGTTAAAAGAGTCACGTGACACCGACCGAAGCTTGGTTTCTTTAGTCAGATACCAACGATTCGATTGAATTAAGAAAATAGGTATCAAAGTCTTGCGTAATATAGTTTGAAGGCGTGTGAAGGCTGAAGAAAAGTTTCTCTGGCGTCTGCTGATCACTGGCAATATCAAGCGTGGCTGTAGATTCGATTTTTTTTTGAAATTTTTCTACCGGTGCAACTCTTGAAACTATAAAAAAATACTAGAGTTTTCATCAATCTTTCGTAAGAAAGATTTATTGAATGTTTTCGTAATTACTCGGCAGCCCTTTGGGAGTTCTTCAGCAGGAGTTCTATAACTACAGATTCATTCAATTTCATTTTCAGTACTAATTTTCGAAATTTTTCTGCTAGCATAACCTCCGAAATTATAAATTACAGTTCTCACGAACAGTTTTCGTAAGAATTTCTTGAAGTTCTCGCAGCTACTCGACAGTGTTTCCTCAATTTTTCCGCAATTTCTGTAACTACAGTTTCATATGCACCAAGTTTCGAAATTTTTCAAATTTCTTCGCCAGTACAATGTTTGAAGTTAATACTATAATACAAGCTACATTCATTTGAAAACTGTACAAACTATATTTATTCCCTATGTTCCAAGGCGCAATAAAAGGACTTGAACGCCATCTCCCACGACGTTTGTCATTAAAAGCGCTCCAGAAACGCGTGGATCCCGCGGGCAAGAATCCCATATCCCGGGTTTATCCGTATTTATTCGATTCGAAGCGGCTGAATCGGTGCCACGCCGGCGAAACTGATGAGGCCGGGGGATGGTTTTTGGGTCAACGCGTGCCGCGAATGCTCGGAATGGTAAATACCGGTCGTGTTCCTCCTTTATCTACGATTTTTGACGTTTATAAATGCCGGACAGAGGCGAGCTGAAACTGGGGGGAGGGGAGAAACGATCGTCAATATTCTCGGTTATCTTGTCTTATCTCTGCAACAGGGAAATAACTTTATCAGCGTTAACTTTAATTTCAAAAATTTACGCAACAACGCGATTAATTGACAACTGACGTCCGAAACATATTGAAATATGTTGCAAAAGAGTCGCGAATAATGTACATGTGTCGGGGCGGAAGGAAAAATTGAAGAACAGTCAAGTTTCGCGAACAAGCGGGCGAAGTCTTGAACTTCACGTCGGCGAAGGGGGAAAGATAAAAGATTCAAAGTGGAAAATGTAGACGATGAAAGGGCGTGTTTTTCCCTTTTTGGGCTTCAGACTTCAGTTGTACAGAGGCAAGAGTAGGGGTAGAAGCAGCAGCAAAGTGCCCAGAAGGAACATGAGGAGAAAAAGAGAAAGAACTGGTGTTTTTTAAGGAAATTTAAGTAGGTCGCCCCTATAAAGAGACGAGTTTCCATAGCGAATCACCCGTGGACCTTTTCAGCACCCTCTCCACTCGCGCATTCATTCAGAATTTCTAATTAAAACTGTTTATTCCCTCCTCAAGTCGAAACTTGCTCCTCCAACGATTTGACGATATAAATGACGAAAAGAAAGAGCCAATGTGTTTTGAAATCTCGTATTTTTTTAACAGAGACGTCGTCGGTTAATTTCAATTTTATTAGAAAATTTTTGAAGTTCTTTCCACGAAAACGAAAGCCAGAATCTTTATTCGTTTCCTTTATTTCTTTTTTCGTTTGTTTGTATTTTCATGGCAACTCTTTTCTACAATTTTCTTCGTCTATTATATTCCGAGTAATGCGAACGCGTCGTGTTATCGGATCGGCGAGGCAAACCCGCTTTCTATTCTGAATCGAGGAAATCTGAAATGCGATTGACGTACGAGCAGGATCGTTCAATTACGCAAGCTTCGCGAGCGATACTCGTTTCAGTTTCGTATTTATCGAGCTTACGTTCGGAAGCGTTGGCGGAACTTGTTGAATACGTTCACGACCAAACTTTGGAAAAAAAAAAAAAGAAAAAATAGTTACACGAAACAATATCGAGAAAATTATTTATTAATTACTTTTATTTCTACCCTCTATAGAATTATATTCCATAGAATAATAAAAAAAATTCTACACTTCGCTCTATTCTAAACTAATAAAAAATTCGAAACTGAAGAAGTCACGGTGCCACCCTAAAAAAATTCTGCAACAACAAGCATTTCGAACGATGCATATCTTGAAAATCAAAACGATTCGAAAGATCGTTGCTCGATACTCGCAGCGAAAGAATGGAAATTATTTTATAGACGCCATTTAGAGCACATTTTGCAATTACAATCTTGCACAGATGAAAATCTCGTTTTCGAGTGATAGCGTTTCATTAATCGGGAAGAATAATTCGATTGCACCGGGTGAAGCCGGTCTGATGAAATCGTGATTAACATATCAGACGCAATTCCCATTCCATTCAGAACGGCCAGATCATCGCCGAGATTAAATCCTCGTTATTTCAAACAATCAATCGTTGCCCCTTGAGTGTGGAATTTCGCGAAGTTTCACTGTAGAAACTTTGCCTCGCGATATAAAAAGTACAATGATTAGTACAACAATGGCATTGAAAATGTACGAAGTGTATTCACATTTATTTGTTCTTGTTCTTGGCGAACAAGCGCGGATCTAGGAAGGCAAGATCATGCGAATTTAGACTGGACAACTTCAAACGAGGCTCTGGCTCTCGTCCAGCGAGCGGATTTATTATACTACGTGACAGACATTCGCCTGATTCATTATGCAGATACGTCGGGCCGATAAACGTGGACAGCGCTTCGATTCATGAACGAATGGATCTTTTGATAATAATTTCGAACCAATTATATTCTCAAGTTGCAATGAGGTAGAAAAAGTTACTAACGTCGTCGATCAAATTTATCGGCCATTTTCGTTCGTTAAAAGCTTCGTCATCGAGAGAGTTGACTCTTTTCTTCTGGGAAATATTGGTAAAATTTCGGAGAATCTCTCGTTGCAAGGATTAGTCATTTTCGTTCGTTTTATGCGTGCTACGAGACGTGAAACGTTTGTCCAGACAACAATCATCACAGCTCAAGAGTATCTTTATCAACGTACGATTTCGCGTGAACATCGTTTGTCACATTTTCGACGAAGAACGAGCGCCGATTATTAATCCAATTAGCCTTTGAAAATCGAGTTATCGCGAATGTTAAAGCGATTGTTCCCTTTAAAGGAATAACATCGATCAGATCTTTATCGATTAGAACGTTATGCGCGATCAGCGACAAACTGTTGTTCGTCTACATAATCTGGGTCAATAAAATGTGATTAATCCTCGAAGATAACTCGGTGAATCTCCTCGAATTGCGCCTCATGCCGGAAACGAACGTGGCAATTCTGAGCCAGAAATACAGGCGAATATCCGCAATCGATAGTTGGAAAAGATACCAGACTTCTCGATCAATGTGCTGACTTACTCTTAATATGGTCTTTGTCTCAGTCAGTGTTTGCGCAGAATCGTGTTTCGATCAATTTTTTTGGAATCTAGTTCCCACTGACGAAACGTATAGTTAGACTGCGGATTTTCATGGTTCGAAACAAAATATTGTAGCAGATATTCTACTTGAAAATATTCTATTTGAAATTTCTTTTTTCATATATTCTTAATAATTTATTATTATTTTTCGTGCATATTTGCACATATTTATTGGGCATAAACATCCGGAGTCTATTAACTTTCATTAACAAAGTTTCTAAAAAACAATGGACTCGTTTAGGCAATCTCACTTAAGTATCCCACCCTGTATATACTTTCACGAATTTGAATGTCTAAAATTTGTAACTTACTTATAAAATACATAGTAAAATCCCCAAATCTCCAGGCTATCGTTCGACTATCCGTCCTAACCTCCCTCCCCGCCATTACAATCCTCCTAGGGACCCCGGGAATCCCCTAGACGCCAACCCGTAACACGAGCGTCGACCTCGACTCAACAAGCAAGCAGCTGCGACAATCATCACTTACAAGTCTCTCTTGGACGGTGACTCGAAGCACTGTTCCCAGAACAGAGCCTTCTTGGACGATCGTATCCGGAGGGCGCAGGCGGACCGAGTGCGAGGAAGCCCCCCGGACAACGCTGCGATCCCACCGCCAGCCAGCGACGGCGAACTCATCCCACCGCCGCATCTTTTTAGGCCGCCGCTGGGCAACGGGGTGTCCATCAAGCCTCCGCTAGAGCCAGACATCGTTAGAGCCTTCTGTCGCTCGGTTTCATCCGCATTCCAACTCGTTGTTCCCTTGGCCACCTCGTCTCTCGATCATTCCAAATGGCGAAACGAGTAGTTTCCTCCAGTTGCCTTTCTCAAACAGCGTTTAGAGACGATTCGATAATGGGCATCCTCATCGATGTTGATCTGGTGTGTTACTCGCTGCAGGAGGTCTTGATCTTTGGATCAACGTTATTACGCAGTCCTCAGGGTAGCCACGATACGTTTGATTTGAGTTTAGTTGAACTCAATGATGGAAGACACTTTCAGACACTTTCATCAAGGATTTTATTTCGTAAACGTTCCCTCAGATTCACTCGGGATCTTGATGACCGACAGTCTGACACTTGCACAGGCACAGAGCTTTCACAGAGTTGTTGGAGTTTGTCACACACGGAAAGTACGTTTTAAGATTTATTTCTCTCTCAATTGTATCGCCACGACAGAAAATCGAAGCTCGGTTTTACTACTGGGAAGTTGTAGTCCGTTGCTACAACTCCCGGCATCGTTTCTTTTCTCATTATCTTTCAAGGAAAATTCCCAGTTTCGCCAGCGAAACTCCGCCGCGTTGAAACTACCCATAAATAAATGACACGAACTGCCGTGGCAGTTTCACTGCTTCCAACTTCCCAGCCGAGGCATGCTCCGGACGGAAACTAAAGCAATTTTCAGTTTTGCTTTCTGGCCGGGAAATTCTACCTGTTGAAACTACAACTATTGATAAATGGATTCTCGTATCGCGTCTTTGGCGCTCGAACCCAGAAAACAGAATTGTTTCCCCCCCCCCCTTTTTTTTTTTTTGCACCGAAAGCTAAATCAATTCTACAGCTGTGATTCTCGCTTATTAACGAACTTGAAACTAGGAGAATGGTTGCTGGAACAATAGTCTTTTAACGAGGAAACTCGACGCGCAAGTAACACTTGAATAATGCTAATCTGAGTATCAAGTAGTTACTTCTTGCCTAAATACTTGGTAATAATGCTTAGTATAGTACTAGTAATACAATACTAGTAATATTTAATGATACCAGTGATACATACTAGTAATACTTAGCACAATACTAGTAATACTTAGTACAATACTAGTAATATTTAATGATGACACCAGTGATGCACACTAGTAATACTTAGTACAATACTAGTAATATTTAATGATGATACCAGTGATGTACATTAGTAATACTTAGTACAATACTAGTAATATTTAATGATAAAGTGTAATACTAGTAATACGCTCGTAATACACCAGTAATGACAATACTAACACAGTGGTAATAATACTAGCAATATACTGGTATCATGCTACAGCGGATAATGCTAAACTTTCAACAGTGACAGCGAATAACAAGTAACCCAATTTCAACAGAGGAAATTCTACGTCGTACACACGCATGATAAAATCCCACGGGGCTCTTGCATTTACTGCCAACTATGCACCAGCAACTAGCCACTCCCTAAACTCTCTTAATCAATTGGAAACGAAAGTTTGCATCCGACCGAAACTTGCCCATCATTTTCATCGTGGACTGGATCTCTAATCCAGATGTTATTCCCTCAAAGCGACAAATTCCCGATCGATGGCCGTCGAGAAACTGGACGTCGATTTCAGACGAAATTGGCGAGAAAGGAGGAGTTAATTTCTCCAACGTAACGAAAGGGAAAGAGTGCGAAAGGGAGAAAGGTATCACGGGCCGAAACGAGATCAAATTCAATTTTCCCAACAGTCGTTCAGCAGCGTCAGGCAGCAAACGAAGAGCGCAACGTGGATTTTTGTTTACTCGCGTCGCAGAGGCTTCATTAGAACGATTGAATTTCAAAAGGACGGGAGAGACGGGAGTGGGCGTCGCGGCGCTTCAGCGAATCACGTGTCGTCTGAATTTCAGATCGCCGATGAAATTGCCGTCATTTGGAAGTCGTCCGTTCTTCTTCCATGCAAACGAGGCAATTTAACTCCCCAACCACCCCTTTCGCTGTCATCAAGCGGCGTTTTCAACGAATCAAATGTCTCTTGGGATTCTTACGTCCAGTCCATTGAAGCGACTTTTCTTCTCCCGTTCTACGTGCATTACTTTTGCAATGTTAATTTCCTTCGCGGGCTCAATTCAGTTGTCTCTTCCTTCGCGACTCTCTGCCGTTTAAAACGACGCTGCGACACTAAACTGAGACGTTCTTCCCTCTCGAGGAATGGTTTTCGATTTCTGGACGAAATTTAGTTCCGCGGCAAGGTCGTTCGAAATGGAATCTCCCCCTCGGCAGTTTACAATTTCCCTCCAAAGTCAGAACCAGCAATGAATCTCGCGCGTATCTCTTAAAGTGACCAAACGTCCCTTAACTCAAGGCTCAAGGACACTCGACTCGGCGATAGATTTCCCCCTTCTTCGGCGGGTCTGAGACGAAAGGCGCGGCGAGATCGAACGTCCCTGGATCTCATTTTGACGTAAATCGGTACCGATGACGCTCTCGGACGAGTGTCACAGCATCCGGAGCTTTGCAGCGTGGAACAACGACGACGAGGGAACGAGTATCGCATTCCCCGATGGGGACACGTGTCCCGGGAAAATGGAGGAGGAATATCGAGCGTGGTGGTTATACAAGAAGAAGGGGAGAGGAGACAGAGAGAAGCTTCTTTGTTCACCCTTATTTCGAATTCGGAGCCAAGCTCCTCTCCGCGGAGATAGTTTTGACCGAAGTTTGATTATACTAGATTCCATTATGGCGTGAGATATTTGTATTTTGTTGTCGGCGGGAGGAAATGAAAGAATAATGACCACGGTGTTGAATTGATGAATGTTTATGAATTTGAAACGTCGCGTTGTTGTGCGATTTCACGCGTGCAAAAAGTAAAATAAATTTTTACTATTATAATTGTTATCGTGTAATCAAATCTAATGTATTAAATCTAATAAATTTTTATTATTTTGAATATGTATTTTAATTATATCGAAATTAATATAATTTATATCAGTACATATCCGAAAGAGAATTATTTGATTTAGAATTATTCAATTTTATTATTTTGAATATGTATTTTAATTACATCGAAATTAATATAATTTATACCAGTACATATCCGAAAGAGAATTATTTAATTTTATTATTTTAAATATGTATTTTAATTATATCGAAATTAATATAATTTATATCAGTACATATCCGAAAGAGAATTATTTAATTTTATTATTTTGAATATGTATTTTAATTACATCAAAATTAATATAATTTATATCAGTACATATCCGAAAGAGAATTATTTGATTTAGAATTATTTAATTTTATTATTTTGAATATGTATTTTAATTACATCGAAATTAATATAATTTATATCAGTACATATCCGAAAGAGAATTATTTGATTTAGAATTATTCAATTTTATTATTTTGAATATGTATTTTAATTATATCGAAATTAATATAATTTATATCAGTACATATCCGAAAGAGAATTTAAACGTTCGACTTTTTCTTTAAACACGCCAGGATTCTGCTGAAGCGACGGACATTGCATTTTGTTATTGGGGAATGAAGGAACCAATGGCCACCGTGTGAATATTCATGCATTCGAAGTATGGGGATGGACGAAATAATGGAAACATTGATCGCGAGAAGATAAAAGATAAATGTAAAATAAATTTGTATCGTTATATGTATCCGTTAATACGAGACGTTTATCGCTAAATTTATGGATATCTTCAAATATTATTTTGTATACGTAGAAAGCATTGGAACTTTGAATATTTTGTATATATACCCTTTCAGATTGTGTGCAATTCTATGCAATTTTCCTGTGAATTCGCAGTCTCTTAATCACTGTAAACAAATGAAATTTTTCATCCATCGAAGATGTTATTATTATTAAATTTTAATATTTCGAAGCTTTCACTCTCGCTGCCCTTATTGAAGAAAAACAGATATTGAAAATAATAGCTGGGCGCGTGCCTGGTCGCCGTGAAAAATCTGCTTAATAAATTTCTCAATTGGAATTGTACGGCACGCTGGCTTCAATGACTAAAACCTTGCTAGGAGACAACTAATTCAGTGGTCTGACAACGTGAATTCGTCTGTACGTATAATATGCGCAGCACACGTCCCCATTTCCCTGAAAATTTCGCGCGAATGTGAACGCGCTGACGAACAAAACGCGCGACCATTCTCAATCCACCGATTGCGCTCGCGCCGAATGCTCTCGAAAAGATCGTGGGCATCAAAGAGTATAATTAATCCATTTTTTTTTTTTTTTTCGACAATCGCTTGTTTCGTCACTCGCGAATTTATGCCTGCTGGGAAAATATCTCCAATCAACTTACGATTAAACCTTCGAGTTTATTATTAAACTCAATTATCAATTAATTCGTTGAAATTGAATTATTTTTGAAATATGTAAAATTGAAATGGAGAAGCTTCTCTCGCGGATTTTTCTCAGCTGCGTGAAATTCGCAATGCGGCCGCGAGTGTCCTCGAGCGTATACCCGGTCGTAGGAAGAAAAAGAAACAAAGAATGATCGAGGCTTCGTTCAATTACAAAATCATTTCGTAACTCATGCGTTTCTTTCTGCATTCAAGGGGAACCGGACGGAGAACGAAAGACGGTTGACCTTTCCAACACTGACGTAATCCGAGAGGAATTCTCCCTCTCTCTCTCTCTCTCTCTCTCTTGGATTCTTTTTCACGATGTCGGCTCGTTTCCGGTTATGCACGACTCGAAACGGCACCTCTGAGTCCCTTTCTTCCCCCTCGCTTGTTTTCGAACAAATTAATTTTCTCTTTTCCTCTTGAGATTTTATGCCTCGAGAAGATCATTACTCTCATAATTTTGCGAAAGTATGCGTCTCAATATGTGTGGAATTTTTTTTACTTTCCATCTGTTCCAAATTTCGAGGGCCGTGAAACAGGAATCTCGGAACTGGAGACGGTACTTCGTCGAATGTTGCTCAAGAACTGCTACGAACGATCACAGAATGATACACAACTATATATAACTGACACTCTACACTCCCGTCACAGCGAAGAAACGCGATTGCCAATTGCGACTGGCCAATTCTACATTTTGTACATGTCGCGAGAAAACTCGAAGAACTGTTTCGATCCAATTGAATCTACGCTTCATCGTTCTCGACAGTTTTTCATCGGGCGAACGATCTTTGCCCGAGAATCAGGTCGGACTTGCCTTTCCCCCGTTCGAAGGGGGAGGAAAAGCAGTTACAGAGTTTCGACAGCCCGATTATCCTTTAATCCGACTCGATGACTCGTATCGGCCATCGCGAACTTGCGAAATGGATCTATCGATCAATCCCCGGAGGGATATTCGGCGGAAAAAGCGGCCGTGGGATTTTATGCGAGAGCATTAAAATGGGAAACACGATGGGGTAGAAAGAATCGAGTCGAAAATTTATCGACGGTTCTCTTTTTTCTTTTCCAAGTTTCGCCGGAGAGGCCACGTTCAGTTAAAAAAAAAAAAAAGAAGTTCGTCGAGTTGCAAAAGAATCGGTAGAGTTTTGGGAAAATTTCTTTGGAACAATGCGAAATTTCGTGGGATTTCAGGATTTTCGAAATTGTAGAACTTTGCAGAGCTGTATGAAATTTCACGTAATTCTGAAGAGTTTCACGCAGTTTTGTTGTAGGATTCTGAGAGATTTCGTAGAATATTTCAAAGAATTATCGTAAAATTTCGAAAAATTTTCGTAGAATTTCGCAAGACCTTC